GGGGGGGGGGGCTTGCACTTGCCAAGAGGCCACTAGCCTCCATATTGGAGCAAAAGTTATTAAATAGGGAAAGGACAGCCTTTTTATAAATGGTGCTGAAACAACTGAACATCCACATGCAAAATAATGAATCTTAACAAAGACCTTATAACCCTCACAAAAATGAACTTAAAATGGATCACAGACAAAAAAATGTACAATACAAAAGTATAAAATTCCTAGAAAATGGGGGGAAATTTAGGTGAACTTGAGTTTATCAATGACTTATCAGACCTAACATCAAAGCATGACTTATGACCCAAAAAAATTGATAACATGGATTTGATTTAAATTTAAGAACTTCTCATCTGTAAAAGAAACTGTTATTAAGAGAATAAAGACAAGTCACAGACTGGCAGAAAATCTGTGTAAAACACACCCCTGATAAAGGACTGATATCCAGGATATACAAATAACTCTTAAAACTCACAATTTAAAAAAAAGTTACTAATGGCCCAAAAGTCTGAACACCACCTCACCAAACAAGACATACAGTTGGCAAATAACTATATAAAAAGACACCTGACATCGCATATCATTAAGGAATTTCAAATTAAAGCCACAATGAGATATACCTATTAGAATGGCTAAAATAGAAAACACTGACACCACCAAATGCTGGTGATGATGTAGGGCAAGAGGAACTCTCGTTCACTGCTGATGAGAATGCAAAATTGTACAGCCACTTTGGAAAACAGTTTGGCAATTTCTTAAAAAACTAGACATACATTTACTGTTAGATAAAGCAAACATGCTCCTTGGTATTTACTCAAATGAGCTGAAAACTTATACCCACCCAAACACATGCACGGAGACGTTTATAGCAAGTTTATTCATAATTGCCCAAACTTGATGTTTGTCAATAGGTGAATGGATTTAAAAAACAGAAAACAAAGTAAAACATCCATGGTACTTCCATATAATGTAGTAAGATTGTCATTAAAAAGAAATAAGCTATCAAGCCACAAAAAGACATGGACAACCGTTAAGAGCATACTGCTAAGTGAAAGAAGCCAATGTGAAAAACTTACATATGTCATGATTCTGAAAAAGGCAAAACCACAGAGACAATAAAAAGATGAGTGGTTGCCAGGGGCTGGAAGGGAAGCAGGGAGGCTGAAATTGGTGAAGGGATTTTTAGAGCAGTGAAACAAATGTGTATGAATCTGTAATGGTAGAAACATGTAATTATAAATTCGTCAAGTCCCATAGAATATACAACTCAAACAATGAACCCTAACGTAAATTATGGACTTTTAATAGTAATGTAGCAATACCAGTTAACTAATATTGCTCTAAAAAATACGAAGTGTATTAAATTTTTTAAAAAGGTATAGCCTTAGAATGAAAAAATAAAAACATATATCAAACATCAAGTTCTCAGGAGGTATGTGTACAATGTGTGCATATATGGATGGGGGTGGTGAGAGAGTTTGGTTTAGATGATAACTGTCCTTGTTTTTAAAAATCAATTACTTGTGACAGTGATCATGAGTAGATTCCACACAGAAATGACCTAAATATTATTTATCATGAAAATAAAATTAAGAGCTAGAGCCTAATTATCTCCTCACAAAGTAACTTCCTCCCCAATTTTCCAACTCCTGGAAAGAGCATCAATTTTTGTTAGCTAAGCTCCAAAATTAAGACTTTTATTTCTCCCAGTCCCTCATCAAGTACCATTGGGGAGTCTTTCAGAATTGTCCCTTCTACTCCTTGACCTCATGAACACTTCAGTGTATGTAGCACATTAATTCAAACAAAGAGTAAAACAACAGCCCATCTGCCTTGAAGCTCTCCACCAACTGTTGACAGCATGCCTCTCGACTGCCTATGAGTTAAGTGCCATCCTCTCACCCACCACTGCAATCTGAACACCACGTTCCCTCTTCTGTCCCTCAATGCTATTCAATGAATACTTAATTAGTGGCCACTGTATACAATGAGCCAACTTCTTTTGTGTTCTTATGTTTTCCTTTTAATCAAAACATAGTTCTGGCTGTAATCCAGTAGTTTATTCCTCCACCTAACCAGGTGGTAGTCACGTTTTACATGAAAAATTTCATTAAATTCAAAATCTCTGCTTTTCCATCAACAAAAAACCTCTACTTTCTTCAAAGCCTACCTGAAATCCAACTTTTCCATGAAACCTTTGCCCTGCCCAAATATCTTAGTCTAAAATCTTGTTTCCCTAAAATTCTAAAGAACTTATAACTAATAAGACAGAATCTAACACTTGATCAAATACCTTCTTCAAGTGTCTGAAAGTATGCACCATATTTTTTTTCCAAGAAGGTAGAAATGTGGCTTATATACCATTACAGTATTTACCTAAGTGCTAGTTATGGAATACCCAATAACATTTGTTAGCTAAAGAGTTCTTTTCTTCTATTGTTTTCATTTTTTCTAAGAATTCAAATTTTGTCAACACGTAAAATTTTTAAAAATAAAAAATAAAATTATCGGATGTTATTCAGAACTTAAGTGAGAATATATGTACAACCTTAAAACATTGTTCTTCAAAGGCACAGTGGAATCCCAGCCATTCAAGTACCCTGGTAATCTGGCAACACAAATGAAATAAATGTGCCTGTCTGCATCTACAAAACGCTGTATACTATACATTTAGTCCTTGACAGTCTAACAAAAGTTGGTGGCAAAGCTCTTTATCTCCACGGAAAATGGAATAGGCTTTGTGGAATGGAATACAGACACTCCGTTAGGAAAATTCTCTTTCACTGGGAAGCAAGCTCAGACTACAAACTATTTTGCACAAGCTACTTATTAATAATTTAATGGTGGTAAGCTTCCAATCCTTGAGAATCAAATTCCTTACCCCAAAAGATGCTGGATTCATACTGAGCAAAAGATACAACTGCCATTAACAATCCCCACTATTAATTATCCTACAATTCAGTGGCACCAGACTTGCATTTAAGAACGACAAACAAGCTCAGCCAGTGTGGCTCAATCCAGGAGATTGAGGTTTGATTCCCGGTCAGGGCACATGTCCGGGTTGTGGGCTTGATCCCTAGCAGGGGCCATGCATGATGCAGCTGATCAAGGACTCTCTCTCATCATTGATGTTTCTATCTCTCTCCCCCTCTCCCTTCATCTCTCTGAAATCAATAAAAAATAATTTAAAAAAACAACAACAGAATGACAAACAAAACCTGAGTTTAATTAGATATGTCATCAAACCAACACCAGTGTTACCTTAGTGGTATATGATTACTGAGGAACATTTCAGCTGTGTTAATCAACTCTGCTGTGGTCTCATGAGCAGGATCAACTATGAAAACCTGTAGGACGAGAGGGAAAGGAGCACATGAAATGACATTTATTAAAATGTCACCAGGCCAATAAAAATGTCCTTAGTCTTTACACTTGAAGGCCATCTTTTTCCAGCTACTCTTGAACCATTAAGACAGGAGTCACACAAATGGCAGCTACCTTCCCTTTATGTTCAAAGACATGGCACTGAAAGGATATGGGATTTTCTCATGGTCTGTGCTAGTGGCATGGGAGTTACAGTCCAGATTGCTAACATCTGCTCTTTTACTACACTTTAAAAAACTCAAGTTTTATTAACTCTCCCACCTTAGAAAATTCAGATTAGATTTCTAAGGATCTCTGAATTCAGAATTCATTTGGAATTCAATTTTTAGACAATACTAGCTAGCTATCATTAAGTTCTCAAGTGCTTCAATAAAATATTATCTCATTTAATAAAGTTCAGACATATAGTTAAGGAGAAACATTGAAATTTTGACTGGGAAGGAAAAAAGCAGTTTCAAAAGTAAGGAAAGTACAGAGAACAGTGTCCCTTGAAGTTCTGAGGATGCCAACCTTGGCACTAACCTGCCCCTTACCTCTTTAGGAGCTAATAAGGGAAGTGAAAGTAATGGGAGGAGAAAAGAGGGCCAACTAAAAACCCTCTTCCACTATCTATCTAAAGCACTGAAATAAGGAGTAACAAGTAGAAGCTGACAGAAAGGCTTAAGGAAATAAATTGAACTATTAAATTTTAGAGATTAAGATATTTAAGAAAACCAGCAGCAACATAGTCATCTTCTTAGTATAAAAGTACTATCTTTAAAATAACACAGTCTAAGTCTTCAGGTTATGGATGACAAGCATTTCCTAATATACTGACATCTCACAGCCCTACAAATGATCAATACATTTCAAAACCCTTCAGTCTGAATTTGGAGCTAGAAAAAGAGAGTATCTGGTACTGGTAGTGGCAGCAGCTAGAAAAGGAGAGAAGTAAACACTCTAGATCTGACAAGAAAATAGGAGACTAGTAGGCAAGGCAGAAATAGAATTCACAGCCAGATAAGGAGTTTTATTTACCATGTTATGCAAATTTTTCCGGATCTGCCGGATAACACCAGGAAAAGTGGGCCGAAGCAACTCCTGTAGACTAGAAGGCCATGAATTATATCTGGCATCAACCTCCAGGTTGTTGATCCACTAGAAAAAAACACACAACAGGTGCATACATTTTAGTCACCATTAGTGAAATTTGCAGGAAAAATAATGACTTTAAATTATTTCAAGAAGAATTACACACGAAAACACCATTTTCAAAAATATAAACATCAAGTAGAAAAATGAGTGACAAAAACATAAGCCAAAACTAAAAGAGAATTGTAACCTACAACAGCAATAAAGGACTAGTGTCAAGAATACGTATAGGAGTAAAGGGGGGTAAACAGCGACAGGAGGAGACCCAAGCTGGGGTGGTGGCACGCAATACAGATGATGTGTTGCAGAGTTGTATACCTGAAAATTGTGTGATTTTATTTGGGGTACTTAGAACTGGAGTACTTAGGAGTAGGATAGCAATATTTCAATACTGTCAGGTCCTCTCTAAAGTGACTGTTCAGGACACTGGCATTGCATGAGAATTCCCAGTGCTCTGTATCCTTGCCTGCTCTTGGATCTTGACAAACTTTTACAGTGTGGTCTTTTTTTTTTTTTTAAATGTATCTTTATTGATTTCAGAGAGAGGAAAGGAGACGGAGAGAGACAGACAGAAACATCAATGATGAGAGAGTCATTGATCGAGCCCAATGTCACCCCAATAAATTCAATTTAAAAAAGAATATGTATAGAAATCTAACATATCAATAAAAAAGCAACGAATGAGAAATGGAAATTAGTAAAGAATATGAATAAGAAATTTACAGAAAAAATTCAAATGGGCAATTAACACAAGGAAAGATGTGTATCGGCCCTAGTCATCTGAGAAATATAAACTGAAAGCACAATAAAATTTCACACTCATTAAATTGAAAAAATTTAAAAGTTTGTCACCCGGCAGGGCGTGGCTCAGCAGTTGAGCGTCGACCTGAGATCCAGGTGATCAGGGTTTGATTCCCGGTCAGGGCACATGCCCGGTTGTGGGCTCGATCAATGACTCTCTCATCATTGATGTTTCTGTCTGTCTCTCTCCGTCTCCTTTCCTCTCTCTGAAATCAATAAAGATATATTTAAAAAAAAAAAAAAAAGACCACACTGTAAAAGTTTGTCAAGATCCAAGAGCAGGCAAGGATACAGAGCACTGGGAATTCTCATGCAATGCCAGTGTCCTGAACAGTCACTTTAGAGAGGACCTGACAGTATTGAAATATTGCTATCCTACTCCTAAGTACTCCAGTTCTAAGTACCCCAAATAAATTCTACATGCATGTGCAAAGAGAGAGGTACAAGAAGAGCTACACAGTACTGCTTGTAACAGCAAAAAACTAGAGACAACTTAATGCCCATAAAGAGAGCAGTGGATAAATAAACGGTATGTACCATTCATACAAAAGAGGCAGGGTGGGAAGCTATAATATCTTGCTCGTGTAAACAGAGTATTTCTGGAAGGATACACAAATAATTGACAATACATGTTGCTTTGGGTGAGAAAAACTGAACAGCTGGGTGATGAGACTTCAATATAATCTTTCGTATGTCTTAAATTTTAAACTTTGAATGTATAAAAGTTTTTTTTAAATCAGTAAAATATAAAACCACATATGATAAAACTAATCTATATGTATCAACCTGTGTTGTCTTGAAAAAATTGTTGAACAATGAAGGAAACTGATGAAGGATACTGATGTGGCATTCTTCAAAATTTTAAAACATACAGCAGGGAATAAAATGATCAAATAAGAGACAGAAGGAATGCATACCAACCTCAGAAGAGGACCTACCTGCAGGGAGGAGGGGGTGGAAGTGGGAGAGATACAAAGAGGGCTTTGACTAAAACATTTTTTTTCCAAGTAAATAATAGATCTGACATAAAATAAATGTTAACATTTAGCAAGTACGGTGATGGGTCACATGGTTGTTAATTATGGTAATCTCTTTACTCTTTGTAATTAAAAACATTTTTAACAGAAAAGTAAATAACACAATGGTATTCACCAAAGGAGCAGTTATGTCACCAAGTGACAACTCAAATAATGACCACCTAGGTTCTATATTCTTTCTCCTTTAAAAAAAACTTCCCTGGCCAGCCGGGTGTGGCTCAGCGGTTGAGCGTTGACCTAAGATCCAAGCAATCAGGGTTTGATTGTGGGTCAGGGCACATGCCCGGGTTGCAGGCTCGATCAATGACTCTCTCATCATTGATGTTTCTATCTCTCTCCCTCTTCTTTCCTCCCTCTGAAATCAATAAAGATATATTTTTTAAAAATTAAATAAATAAATAAATTTTTAAAAATTTCCCTAATGCCCTGGCCAGGTGGGGTGGCTCAGTTGGCTGTAGCATTGTCCAGTTCCGTACTCCAAAAGGTTACAGATTCAATTCCTGGTCAGGACACATACCTAGGTTGTGAGTTTGATCCCAGGTCAGGGAGCACATGGGAAGCAATGGATCAGTATTTCTTTCTCTTTCTCTCTCCATTCCTCCCTCCCCCTTTCTCCAAAAGTCAATGAAAACATATCCTCAGGTGAGGATTAAAAACAAATTTCTCTAAAATAAATGCAGCACGAAAACAAGAAAAAAAGCACCGGAGTACCAAGGATGTGCTAGGCCTATCTCCAACACTGCTCTCACCTTCACCATGACCGCCCAAGACAGCTCGACTCCCTCCACTCTCTTTCACAGATGTGAAAACAAAGGCCCAGAGACATCATATAGCTAGATATTAATCTACATAAATCCTTCACATATAAAATATCAAATATGCAACTGAGCAAATACAAACTAAACACTTTTTTCTAAGACATGTTCCGCAGAATCACAGGTAGATACAAAAGTGGAAAAATCACTGTCTCAACCATATTAAACATAACTCAACTTTTTGGAGCATTTGAGAGCCTACATTACATGCACTTAGCCCCATATAAGCAGTTGTGGTAAATCTTTGTTTGATGCCAACAAAAGATCTGGCAGTAGTAACTTATGTCTCCTAAAAGACAAGTGAGAAAACCATAACAAAATACCTGGTCAGATGCCCCCTGGACACTCAAAGAGAATACCTACCGAAATAGCAGGACTCCTGATGTCTACAGCATAGTCGGCCTCAGAGGGCTGGATGTTCAGTTTCAAAACATTATGCAGAGAAAGACCTTCTATTCCCAGTCTATGTAGACCCTCCATGACCCGGGCTTCATTCCTCAATACATCAAAGAGACTGAAAAAAATAGGTATTTAGAAGAAAAGCTTTAAAAAACATCCTTGCCACGAAAAACAATCTATCAGTTCAAACTCAATTCCCTATCAAACTACTTGAGAAATCAAACAAGGGAGATCTTCCCTTTGCTTCATCTTGTCAAAGTATATAGAAAAAAGCAAGCAGGACTTACTTCTTAGTTCATTCATGTTTATTTGTACTTATCAACATATACATTGGGTATAGAAATTAACTCTAATATAAGCATACAACTTCAGGGTGAAATAATCCTAAATCTGGATTTTACAACGCACGTTTTTATGAACACTATAGTAATCTGTGTTATTTCTTATAACTATACATGAATCTATAATTACCTCAAAACAAACAGTTTATGGAAAAAACGCTAAAAAGAAATATTAGATTACATAGATTGAACATATGCTTCAATATCAGTATCCATTTATACAGGCACACACATATATGACCAAAGCTGGAGGAAGACCAACCCAACAGAGGTCTGCTGGGAGAGAAGAACGAACTAAGAAGACAGTATAAATAGACTTTACTTTTTAGTTCCATGATATCTCTGTATTATTTAAAACTGTTGCCCAGCCGGGCATGGCTCAGCGGTTGAGCATCGACCTAGGATCCAGGCGATCAGGGTTCGATTCCCAGTCAGGGCACATGCTCAGGTTGTGGGCTTGATCCCCAGTCAGGGGTGTGCAGGAGGCAGCCGATCAATGACTCTCTCACCATTGATGTTCCTCTCTCTCTCTCTCTCTCTCTCTCTCTCTCTCTCTCTCCCCCTCTCCTTTCCTCTCTCTGAAATCAATAAAAGATATAAAAAAACTCCACAAAACTGTTTACAATGAGCAAGTACTCAGTTTGTAATACTCTGAAAAATTAAAGAGATTTTTTTAATTAAAAATAAAAACAAATATGGGCAATCTTTTAAAGTGTCCTTTACTACTTTTTCACTAGCTCTGTAAAGTAGCATGTGAACATAAAGCTCAATTAAAATAATTAATGTGAAAATATCACACTGGGGAAACTGCTTCTTCTGAAGTATTAGCAATAGCTTTTGTTTTTACTACTATGAAGCCATAGTGTCAATCGTATCAATTTTAATAGCAAGGATAAAATATGAATTCCACCTGACTGTCCACCACCCCCTCAAAAAATTCATCAGGACAATTTAGAGCAATTTAGTCCTAAATCACATGTTAACAAAACAAAAGGGTAGGTATTCAAAGAATATCTGTAAGACAGAACACCTTCTGACACACCAGAGGCAGCATTTTGAATAACCCTCCATCACACTATTCCCAGAGCAAAAGAAGCTGCTCTTTTCAGTTTTTCTGGCTGACAGAAGAACTACAGCTTCGAAAACGGCATTCCCAAAAGACACTTGGGCTTAACTGTCCAAGGTCTTAAATAGACATTATGATAAAAAATGGCAAAGTGTCACCCTACCCATCCCAGTCAGAACACAGACCTGGCTTAAATGCACTCCCCAGGCCTGGGAAGCCATCAGGCGTGGCAACATGCCACCATCAAGGAGAACAATTTGAAGGCGGCACAGAAACTACACGTTATAAAAACTCTCGGAGCATGGGAAATAGTATCCATACCTGAATATATCCTGCGTATCTAAGTCAATATGAAGTCCATTGATGAACAGTGCTGAGTCTCCAGGCTGTAATCCTAAAGTTCCCTTGAAATACTGAAATATTAGAAAATTTATTAAGGAGCAGGAAGAGAATGTTTAACAGAAATTTCCATGTTTCTGGCTTTATTATGTGTACAAATGTTGACATCCTCTAAGCACCATGGGCAACCCCACAGCTGGGTGAAGATCTCCTTTTATGAACTCCCACTCGGCATTTACTGCACTATCTAGTGAAACTACTGGTTTATGTGGCATACACTTCTTCTCCCTCCTCCTCCCTGCTTCCAACATTAACTAACACAACTGTTTCCTATAATGGGGGGAGGGTGTCAAACTGGCCAAGTGCTGAGCATCACTTTTCATAAAAGAGGACTTCTGTTACTTTTCCCTGTTTGTGATGCCAGCCAAGGCAGTGACAAGAGTCAGTAACAGTTGTGTCTTCTTGATAAAGTCCAGGGAACTAATCTAAAAGCGTTTCAAAATCCCACACCTCCCTTCAACTTTCAAACTAAGGCACACCAAGAAATTCAGAATTGCTGTGCTCAGGATAGCACCTACATGCAACCTAGCTCTCCAAGACCTGGCCTCCACTGGGGAAAGAGGGTGCCTTCAACTGCTGCTCCCTGAGACAGGGGCCAGCCTGGTTCTCCCAGCGCTGAGAGAGGAAGGAAAGGGACTGCTCAGCTCCTTTTTCCCAGTAGTCAGTGGACTAAGAGAAATAAACTTTAAGATCTAGTATTGCAGGGGAAACATAGACAAAACAACAAGGAAGCCATGGCTTTGCTTCTTTGCTCGGCCAGGACTAAACAGCAAGTAAGACTAAGGGGATAATGAAGATTTGTATCAATGAGAATTATCATCTTACACTCCCTCCCAGGCAGCAAGTACAGCACGCTTTCACTATAAGAAAGACACAGTTCATATCTATTTGTAGATCTGGATGTTGGTAACATAGGTGGCTTCACTTACTGAAAATTCATCACACTAAAATTTTGTGCACGTTTTTGTATGTGTTTATACTTTTTGTTTTATACTTTAATAAAATATTTTACTTGAAAAAATGAAAAATTCAGGATGTACCAATATATAGCCTGTATAATTTAATGTTTTATCTTCCTGGGAGGGACCTAAAACTAAGGTAATATTTGATATTATTACCCTGGGAATTAAAAATTGAGTAAATAAAAATTGTCATGTTTCTTCAATGTAGCAAACATTTTATATTTGGTTTACTTATCCCTCAGGTCTATTTAAGTAACTAATATGAGTTAAGATTAAGAAAATCTGGGGTAGAGATATTCGTTGAACACAAGCACTTTTTCCTCCCTTTTGAAATGTCAGTTTTTAAAAATGGGACTCTTACAGTTATAAAACCATGACAACAAAGAGAACACAAAAGAAAAAGGGCAACTAATTTTGGAAGCTGGGAAGGAGACGTATGCAGTGCTCCTGAGAAAGCGGAGTGCCAGGGTGACAGTGGAAAAGCCAATGGGAACACCAGGAAGTGAGATCACAAACAACACATGTATGAGGGACAATTATTAGACTAAAAAATGAGTTCCGACAGAAAGCCTGTTTAAAATAATGGACTCTCCTGGTTTCACATAGCAGGTGAGTGCTATCAAAACTCTCTCACTCCAAAAAAATGGAGACTAATCCCTAGAAAGAGTCAAATATCAAAAACAGAGTACTGAGTGGAAGTTACTGAGTGCTCTTCCCTCCTGGGCCTCTACCACTCTGCCAGTCAAACTTCACCCTCCAGGCAGAAGACTAGAAGATCCTTTCTGGAGACTAAACAGCTCAGGAGAAAAACTTAAAGATACTGTCACTGGGGTTCCCTAGGAAGTGGCCATTCCAGGGTAGCCTACATTCAAAGAGCCTCATCGTTAGGCCTAACAATCAGCTCCTAATGGCCCCATTCTTCAGCATCAGCAGCTAGCCACAGATCACCAAACATTCTGGAGAGCTTCTAACAAAGACAAGAGACCAAGACAAAAAGAAAGGATACTTAAGAGGAAGTAGACTATGCAAAGAAAAGAAAATATACACATGCACCACTGCTATCTTCAGAAGGATACAAGAACACCATAAAAAGAAGAATCCAAATATAACACCTAGAAATTAAAAATGTGACTATGACAGGAAAAACCTCAACCAAGGAGTTGAAAATCCTTCCCAGAAAGTTTAAAAGTAAAAGACAAAAGGATTAAAAAATAGAAAAGATGTTTTTGTGATTATTTTTTAAATTAGGCCAAGCTAGTCAAGGAGGTGCAAAATCTTAAAGATAGAGTTCTAGGAAAACAGAAAAGAGAAACCCAATAGAAGAAATGCAAATAATTTAAAAATTTCCCCAAACTAAAAAAAAATGATTTTCTAGATTTAAAGGGCCTATCAACCACCCAATAGTATGGAGACTTTTTAAAATGACATTTCATTGTGAAATTTCAGATTACTAGGGTCAAAGAAAAGATCCTAGATGATTCTAAAAAGAAAAGCCAGATCTCATACAAAGGCTTCAGACTTCTCAATAGCCACAATGGAAATCAAAATTACAAGTATGCCTTCAAACTTTTAAATGACTTCCAATCTAAAATTCTATACCCAGCCAAACTATCAATAAAAACAGAAATTGAATATTGATTTCTCAGAGTCTGAAATTTACCTTGCATGCAATTTTTCTCATGAAGAATGATTTGCTGCACCCAAATAAGGGTACAAACCAAAAACAAAGAAGACCTGGAATCCAAGGAACAGGAGATCCAACAAAAGAGGTTTAAGAAAGGTCCCCAGGAAAACTGCTATGCACTAGAAATGAAAAACAACCTGTCCATACTGGAGCAGATCAAAAATGGATAAATCATGACATAAAAATACAGAGAAAGTGAAGAGATGGGGAAAGGGCCAATACAGAGTCATGGTAAACATGGGTGGGAGAAGGCAGTGAAAGGAAGTTAAACCTCATCCTTGTAATAGGAGGCCAACAAATAGGGTCTGAAACTTAAACATAAAGTACCAATTTAAGCTTGTTACAAGTCTAGAGATAGATATCAAAAGAATCAGCTAAGAGTTAGAAGCAGATGTTTCTGGAAAAAGGGACACACAGGGAGTGAGACATGTTGAGGGGTGCTATTTTTGTTAATAAACAGGTGGTACCAGCTGGTGCTTTAAATTATATTCATATTCTACTTTGATTAAAAACTAAAAATATGAAAAAGATTACAGAAATGAATCTTTGCTAAAATGAGGCTAAAACTATTAATGTCACTGATTTAACTCAGAGTTCCTCATCTTTAAAGATATCACAACAAACAGAAAGGCCACTATTTTCCATTGGTTATTACCTTCTGATTCTCTTCCACTTCAGATCTAAGCTCTGAACTCACAGCTGTTTTTGTTATTGCCCTAAGGAAATAAAAACATTATCAGTGCTTGGTTTGATATTTTAAATAAATGTCTTCAATTTCCCTATATTTAAATATGAAAAACCTAATGGAAAAAGCCTTAAACCTTTACAACTGATAAACATATTTCTCCTCTCAGGTGTGCACATTTTTTTCATTATTGTAAGATACTATACCAAGGAAAAGTAGCAGTAATGGCAGCATCTTGACGCAAGTGCAGTTACCTCCAAGATCTCAGTTAACTATACGTAACTCTATTCCTATGTATGATCTCTTAGCTTGCAGGCTAAAGGATAATGATACATGAGTTAAGGCAACAGACTCTCCACCCTACATACGCACTGTGGTAAAGGGGGATGCTACACGTTTATCTTCAATAGCACGCTGGACCAAAGAAGAATATGCTGTAAGATTTGTAAGTCCCATCTATGAAGGCTTTTCAAGACTAATCAAATAAACAAATTTATTTACAAAACATTTCACATCAGAATTCAAAACACCTCATTCAGTGATCAAGAAAACCTGACACTCATTTATAAGTCATTAGTTTCTAAAAGATTGGCTTTTAAAACAATTTTGCCTTGCATTTATGAAATGTAGAGGACCATTATACAATTGAAAGCAACACCAGGAAAGCTGCATTCAAATTCTTACTCTGTCACTATGAACGTGTCAGCCCCTATAACTCATTTTCTTCATCAAGATTAAATGATATATGTGAAACTCTTCAGGAAGAAAACACTGTCATCCAAGGAGACCCTAGACTGGTTACGTCTGCATAGGTTAGATTGTTAATTCGTCCAGTCCTGAAAGGCAACTATCTCACTGCTGAGGAGGAGTGCTTATTTACAAAGTTCATACAACTCGGAAGTGCAGTGTCAGGAACAGAACCAAGATGGGTCTCTCCAACCACGCAACGCAGAGTCTTGCCAGCTTTTCAGAAAGAGTACATTGGCAGTATGGTGTCAGGAGTAAGAGAGCTTTCATTTTCTAAGCATTTATGTATTTTAATTGCTCTGTCTTGCCTATAAACATGAAGATGATTAGGTATATGCTCAGGAGCTGATGCCTCAAAACCCTAATCCCCAATATTACCTGGCTTTGGTAGGAAAATTTTGACTAAGATCCTTCATCACCACCAAAGCCAATTCAATAGGAGCAGCCAAGATTCGGGCAGCAGTCTGGAAACTTAGATCTGCAACAATGTCAAATATAATATAAAGTACGTTAATCTAATGCAACAAAAAATAGGAAAAAAACATTTATTTCCCACTAATTTCTTGGTGAGTACCCAGTTTAATTTCAGGTCCTACTGACTTTGTAGGTCCCTATGGTGTTGATTATAACTGGTTCTTGATCTACCTCCATAAAATAACAGGGCATACACTAACATATTTAAGCAAAGGATAAATACATCCCAAATACTTTTTCTTCTTCTGAATTTACAAATCTCAAATTATAACAAAAGACTTTATTAAATTATGTTGTGGGGGGGGAAACTTGATGAATACTTTTTTGGACCAGAAAAGCACACATACATTCTCCCATGCTGACATGCCTCTGGCATTCAACAGATACAGTGTTTAGTAAATGTATACACAGAGACACGTAAAAACCAAGACAAATATGTTTCTATACTACAAGCTTATGCACCTGGTCAAAGAAAGATCTGGCACTCATTTACATATATTACTTCTGAATAGTATTATCTGTCTATAAAAGGACTTCCCTTTCTTTTCTGATTAATCATAATCACTATCTTTAAAATCTGTGGTACCCTTGGAATCATGTGAATCAATAAAACTACATTCAAATTCTACCTTTTGTTTGTACCACAAAATATAGTCAAAAAGTAGGCCAGTGACTCCTCTATGTTTTTATTTTTATTACCTTGCAATTGCCAAACTTTTAAAGGTGCCATTTCATTGGTGCTCTCCACAAGATGCTTTCTAAGTTCTTTCAACTGTCCCTTCAGGTCAGGGTGTAGGTCTCTGAAAGAAACATAAAATCAGTCCTTTTCACGTGTCTTTTCTTTCTCAAAGCACACTCAGAAGTTGGCTCCAATTTTATCTTCATGATTTTCCCCACTTGCATTAGGAAAATTCCTGCAGTATAGGAGAAAAAAATTAAAGTATAATTATTTTTCTTAAAAACTAGGGTAATATATAAAAGTGTAAGTTAATTTTAAAACCAATAGTCATTCTCTAAATTCAGGGAGGGAGACAACTGGAGCTGGGGGTAGGGAACAAAGGGACCTCAATTCCAACTATAGTGTTTGACTCACCTTGTTTCTTTCTTTTTTAAGTAAAAACACACATATATTAGGGGGGAAAACTTAATAAATAGTTCTTTGGTACAGAAAAGTATGATAGCAACAATCAGTTCTGGATGGTAAGTACAATGCATGGGTATGTTATATTATTTTCCATACTTTTCTGAATCTTTATAATTTCTCAGGATAAAGCTGAATCTATATTGCTGCTGATCCCCACAAGAATAAAATTTGAGTTAACTAAGATTACTGGGTTTTGTTTAGTTTTATCTTGAAATATAGTACATTATTTTTAAAGCTAGTAAAACAGAAGATATCAAAAGCAAAGACGTATCATTTAGACAGGCAGATGGCTGATAGAGTCATCTTGTTCTTTTAAATGCTAGAAACTCAAAGTTTGTCATTCAATACCATTTCACACCTGTTTCAGTTGTATGGCATCAAAATTTCTTAAATACAACATGCAGAAAATTAAATATTTACTCAGACCCTTCACCTTCCAACAAATCCACTTCCCATCGGTCACTACAAACTCTTCTTCATGATAAAAATATCAAAAAATGGTCTAATTACTTTAGATAGCTAAATAACTATTCTGAATGCCCAAAATTTAAAAATGACTTTAATATTCTACATACTATGTTGTACTGTAAATAGATGAAATCATAATGCTATCCAAAAAACATGAATATTTAAAGAAATTCTGGAAACCTGGAGCCAATAAAAAATGGAACCTGACTGCATACTGAGACCAAAACTGATGTTAAGCACAGAGAAATGTGCATATGCAAACAACGAACATAACATGTCCACTGTAATTTAACATGAACTAAGCCATCTCTGCTAAACTGTTAGTCTGGTTAAGGCATTTCACTCAGCCAAATGTTAAAGCAAGTATAAGAAACCAAGCCTACATGTATCATTCCTATATGATCCCTTTCTTTAAAAATAAAAACAAGGTACACTACAGACGGCTTAATTCAGATTTTCAGATAAAGCAGAACTCAGGGGTCTGAACAACTACTAAGTCATATCTGAAATAACTGCAACATTTAAAAGAAGAGCTAAGAAGATTTTTCAGCTGTAAAATCCTATGATACTTCATAAAATGGCTATGAAATTTTCTTCAAAACAAAACCATTTTCTATCTTCTTCCATACAGAGCAAATACTAATGAAATGCACTTTACTTGAACATGTGTAGAATCTAATACACATCCTACTACACCTCTTTCGCACTTTTGTCAGACTATGTTTAGCATGAGTAAATAGCTACGACCTCGCTAACTTAAAATACACTTGAATTCCTTGGGAAAATATTGACAAAAACAGCTATATTTCTCCTATTATGTGAATCAAAAAAATGGCATGTTATTTTATGCCATCAATTGCAAAGCCCAGAAAAGGAAATCAGTGTAAGCCATAGGCAGGTAGCCATAGTATCATTTAAAAATATGTGTTCGGGGGAGAGTTAAGATGGCTACACTCTAACAAGAGGCTGGGAGTGCCCTTGCTCCCAGGCACCGAATGGATTTACAGCTAAAATAGTGTGCGGTCACACTGAAAAAACAAGAGAAGTGTAACTGATTGGACATATTTTGTCTAAGGAACACTGAAGAAATAACAAAGAGACTGGTAAGAGGGGGAGTCTCGGAAAGGGGGAGCCCTCCCCCGCCCCCGCCAGAGCTGGTGCTGGGCTGAGAGGCCCGAGTGACAGTGGCTGCAAAGCTCCCTCCCCCTTGGGAGTGTGGCCTGGCACCCATACACAAGGATCCCAAACCTTGAATGGCAGAGACTGGAAGCAGAGACTGGAAGGAGAGTCGTGCAGCACCGGGCAGAGGGATCCAAGGGAACTGTCTGCTGGAGGCTGGGTCCGTACTTTCCCAGTGAAAGAGTGCGCCTACTGCTGGCAGCTCCAGCAGGAGATGTTCACCCGGAGCTCTGACTGCTGGAAAGGCTGTGCCCCGGTGTGTGGCTCCAGAACAGAAAGGAGCCTTGGGTTGCACCCAGCAGTAATTTAAAGGGACCCTCTGCTTTCCTGAAAGGCACTGTACACAGCCCCAGAAAGCATCTAAACTGTGTAACGTGGGGAAGGGGAAGAGGACTCTCCCACTGCAATAGAAGATTGGAGCTGGTTGCAGGGCAGATGGGGGATTTTTGATCTGCAACTAAGGAGAGCTGGGAGCACAGACGGAGCTGAGATTCTTGGCCCAGCTGTACTGAGATCAGCTGTGTGGAGAGATCAGAGTCTTGTGCAGGGCTGACTTTGTAACCCCTTCTGCTTGGACCTCAGGTGCAAGGGCACTGGGTCCACGCAAAGCAGGTTTTGTGTTTGTTTTTATTTTTGAACAGCATCAACCTGGGGGAAGGCTTACATTGGGGAGGCAGATGAGAAACAGCTGGGCTTTGTGACTGTATTGTGGGGAGGCTGACACAAATGCCCTGTGAGTTCAGCCAGCCAGTACTGGGAAAGGAGGGGTGGAACACGTCTACCTCTCTGTTAGGCAGGGAACACCTCCCCCCATAGGAAAGGGCTTGGATCAGCTCTCTGAAGCCCCAGATACTCTGGCTGGATGCAGTTTGGTGGGGGTAGGGAGAACAGCTCTGAGGAGGATGCTCCAACAGAGTAAAGGCAGTCTCTTAATAAATGGTGCTGGCAAAATTGATCAGGTACATACAAAAAAAAAAAAAAAATGAAACTAGACCACCAACTTACACCATACACAAGAATAAACTCTAAATGGATAAAAGACTTAATTGTAAGTCATGAAACCATCAACATGATAGAAGAAAACTTAGCAGAATTTTCACCCATACATCTTCTAGGACCAGAAAAACAGAAAAAAATAAATGGGACTGCATCAAACTGAAAAGCTCCTGCACAGCAAAAGAAAACAGTATCAAAATCAAAAGGGAATCCACTGTATGGGAGAACATATTTGCCAATGATATATCTGATAAGGGGTTAATTTCCAAAATATATAAAGTACTCATGCAACTCAACAAAAGGAAGACAGACAATCCAATTAGAAAATGGGCAGAGGACCTGAATAGACACTTCTCCAAAGAAGACACACAAATGGCCAAGAGACATAAGAGAAAATGCTCAAAGTCACTAATCATCAGAGATGCAAATTAAAACCACAATGAGGTATCACTTCACACCTGTCAGAATGGCTCCATCAACAAATCAACAAACTACTCCTGCTGGCGAGGGTGTGAGGAAAGGGGAACCCGGTACACTGCTGCTGGGAATGCAGACTGGTGCAGCCACTATGGAAAACAGTGTGGAGGTTCCTCAAAAAATTAAAAATGGAGCTGCCTTTTGACCCAGTGATCCCACTTCTAGAAATATATCCTAAGAGTCCTGAAACAGGAAGAATCTATGCACCCCTATGTTCATAGCAGCACAATTTACAATAGCTAAGATCTGGAAACAGCCCAAGTGCCCATCAGTAGATGAGTGGATAAAAAAGCTGTGGGACATTTACACCATGGAATACTATGCGGCTGTAAAGAAGAAGGATCCATTACACTTTGAAACAGCATGGAGGGACCTGGAGATGATTATGCTGAGTGAAATAAACCAGCCAGAGAAAAATAAGTATTATATGATCTCACTTATATGTGAACTGTAATGAACAACAATAAACTGATGAATGAACTAGAACCACAAGCATGAAAACTTGCTTCTGATGAATCTCAGAGGGAAGGGGGACAGGGGCATGAAGAGATTAACAAAAGAACTCATATGCATATATGCATAGCCCATGAACACAGACAACAGGGTGGTGAAGGCCTGAGGTGGGGCGGGAACTGGGTGGTGAGGGGTAAAAGGGAGAGAGAGAAAAGGCGGGACATCTATAATACTCTCAACAATTTAAAAAAATAAATAGCCCTAGCAGGCGTTGCTCAGTGGTTAGAGCTACAGCCTGCACAGGGGATGGTCACAGGTTCTATTCCCAGTCAAGGGCACATACCTGGGTTGCAGGTTCAAAACCCATCTCTAGTCAGGGTGCACTCAGGAGGAAACCAATCAATCTGTCTCTCTCTCACCTCTCTTTCCCTCTCTCCGCTCCCTTCCATTCTCTCTAAAACTCAGTGGAAAAACATCTTCACTCCTTGGGGTGAGGATTGAAAAAAATTAAATAAATAAATAAATAAATAAATAAATAAATAAATGTATGTGCTCAGAACAACTGGAGATCATCAACTGTGCTATAATCAAGCAGTCATCTCTTCCTATCAGACGACACATACAAAACACTCCTGGGAGATCTGTAACTGACAGCAGCAAGGAAGATGATGTTCAGTGTGAGGAAGTCTGGAGGTTTACATAGAGTAAGACCACTTCCCGAAAGAATATACACACCTTAATTTTCCAAAGAGAAATCCTTGAACTTCATCAATAGGATCATTATCACCGATCACTGTGGTGTTTACTTCAGTTCCTATAAAAGCACGGCAAATACATGTCTAATCGCTCAGACTGGAATAAAAACACTGTTAACCCCGTTAAGTCTGAGTAACGTGAAAAAAAGAATCAGAAAACACCTGATAGGATACCATTTAAAAGGAATAGCTAATTTTGCAATGGTAACAAACAAACAGAGAAAATTAATGTTTTTAATATATCTTATATTTCTGGAAAAAGTAAAAATCCACTTTTTTCCCTTAAACTTTGGAAAATTACATTAAAAATTTCAAAATTAACAACTTTAAAATTATAAACAATGGATTTTTCAATATAAAGATTATAAAGAATATGCAACCAGGCAACTTAATCCTATACAGAATTGAGAACAGAATGATGAGCTACTAGGCTATCTTCCATGTACCACGCCAATCCTTTTTATCTTTAAAATGAGCTCAAAAGAAATTTACAAAACTGCACATAAAACTTGTAGTTGAAATAATAAATTCAAAACCCTAGAGTATGACAAGAAGTATTCATAGTAAACTGTTTCAAGTGCAGAAAATAATAACCATTAAATCATTTGTTAATTATAGGATAGTTTAAGATTTCACATTGGGCCTGGCTGGGGTGGCTCAGTGGTTGAGTGTCAACCCATGAACCAAGAGGTCACTGGCTCGATTCTAGTCAGGGCGCATGCCAGAATTGCAGGCTTAATCCCCAGCAGGGGGAGGCAGCCAATCAGTGATGTTTCTCTCCCATTAATGTTTTTACATCTCTGTCCCTTCTCCCATCCTCTCTAAAAAAAAATCAATAAATGTTCTCGCCCAGCCGGGCGTGGCTCAGCGGTTGAGTGTCGACCTAGGATCCAGGAGATCGGGGCTCGATTCCCAGTCAGGGCACATGCCCAGGTTGCGGGCTCGATCAATGACTCATCATTGATGTTTCCAGCTCTCTCTCTCCCTCTCCTTTCCTCTCTCTGAAATCAATAAAGATATATATATATATATTTTTTAATTTTCTTAAAAGACTTTACATTGGGCCACAAATTAATAACTATTTGTGAACTACGTATCATTAATAACAATACCTACTACTTATTGAACATTTTCTGTTCAAAACTTGTGCTAATTTTTTACTATACATCTTATTTCCTCCTCACAAATACTTTAAGAAGCATATATCATTATCTGTACTTTACACAGGAAAAAATTAGGACACAGAGAATTCTATGTTACAACTGCTCAGATGTAACAGAAAGAGGATTTGAACACAGGTTCATCATATTCCTAAACCTATTCTTTATCATTAAGGAAAAAAGTTCCTCTTTAACTCATATTTTTAAAAAAGAAAACACATTGGTCTCATTTACAAATTCACCTTTCACCTGAGTATCATCCTTGGCCTTGTACTCAGTGCTCTTAATGGCCAGTTCCACACCATAGCCGGAGAGATAAACAGGCTCTTTTCTGGGGGTCTGCAAGCAGAGCAAATATTCCACCATCACCACCGAGTTCTTTACATGTCAGTGCACAGAACATGAGTGTGTTAATGTTGTGTAGCCAACATGTAGGATTATGCACTCAAGATACACTTACACTTCAATGGGAAGCCTAGCCTCCTTTGGATTTTATATCCTGTCACACGTATGAGAATGGAGATTCTGAGGCAGAAGCAAAACCAGAGAAAGGAGCAGTTGAAAAGGCAAAGGGAACCAAACCATATGAAGAAATAGAGAAAGAAAAAAAGAGTTTCAGAACCTATGCAGCAGGGTTGAAACCAGTGAGGCTTCAAGCCCAGAGTGCTGTGTGGAGATCAAGTGTGTAAATGTGTGCATGTTTACATTTTTGACTGAATTCAAATGTCTTCAGTCAGGATTCGGGTGACCAAATGTCACAGGCTTACCACCATCCTGAATGAGGATGGCTTTTAGACATTTATTCTTTAAGACTAGCAACAGAGGATGGGAGCAGAGGATGGAGAGCAGCTGTCAAAAATTAGATATTAACAAATCTGTTATTGTTCATACAAATTTTCATTTAGAACTTTTATTTTACTTGCATGGACTTAGTATCCAATATTTATCGAGCTTATTAGGACACAGAAACTTTAAGGCTAACAATCTTTACATATAAATAATTTAAATGCTAAATGTTATACAAGGTTTCGAAACTCATTTTCAATCAATTCTGCCTGATTTTACCTCTAAAAAATCCTTCCTTTTCCAACTTATAAAAAGACTTTTTTTAAAAAGGTTTGGAAAGGAACTTAATTAAAGAATTAGACCATATTAAGTCTGCATAGTATGTGACCGTATTAAATCTGGATCAAATTAAGCATAATTTACATGGTTCATTTTGAAATAGAATATAAACTTTATTAAGCTACTTTTTAAGCATAATTGTTTTACATTTCTTCACAAAGGCAAGCAAAGTAACTTCTATGTGTGCAAATAACATTTGATGAAAGTACTTAACTTCAAAGTAATTCAAATAATTTGTAAAAGGGAAAATTATTAGCTTATGTGGTAAAGTCATGCTGGGCAAATTAATATTTAAAACAGTTGCAAAATAAGTCAGTACTTACCGATATATAATGTCTGAATATGTAACTGATTTTGCCTGCATTGCTTTTTGATACAAGCTGGCGGTGGAAATTATAAAATGACTCATAGCCGATCTCAGAGTAGAAAATCACCACTGGACTCTCAGGACTAGATGAGGGGTATCTGTGATCGCCTTTGAACAATAAGGGTTTGGGTCTGAAAACAAATACCGAAAGCTTAAAATTATAAACTTAAAAAAGTTTTAAACAAAATGTAGATGCAGCAATGATAATTTAAGTAAAGATTATCAACATCTTTATGTAAAAGTATCAAAATCTTAAATAGTTTTCATTAAGAATGCTGTCAGGTATGAGTCTTATTTGTTCATCATTAAAAATAATAGTAAAAGTACATTACATAAATACTAGCTGTAAAATGCAGGCTTTGAAAATAATTGTTACCAATCCCTAGAGAAGGGGGAAAGCCAGAGAAAGATATATATCTAGATCTCATAGTACTAAAACTTTAATAAATAATTCCACCATAAATAGAACATAGTTATCTTTTTATCTGAAAACATAAGTACAAATAATGCAAAACAAGCACAGGAATCCTTCAAGCATATAACTTGCCAATTAGAGCATCTCCTTCCTCTATTGTCTTTCCTCCTATGATCTTCCTATTAATAAATTTAACATTTATTTTAAAACTTACACTCCAAAAACACTTCTCTAAGAATAATATCAAGATATTAATAGATATTAATGCATAGGCTTTATGATCTACCAATCTCTCTTAAGGAGGTTCACCTACATGTACTAAAGAGGACTCTAGTGAAAACAAACCTACCTACCTGTATAAATGTATAACCACAGAAAAGTCTAAAACGGTATAAGCTAAACCATTAAAAACAGCTCCCACCTCTCAGAAGAGGGTACACTATTACTCTTTTCTTTACAAAGTCTTGTGTTATTGCTATAACAAATTAAACAAAAATTAATCAATTTTGTTTCCCCCAAAGGAGCACCACTTGACCACACAGCCACCCTGATCTGGCTAGAATGTACAACGGGTTTTTAGTTGTTACCCTGAGTAAGAAGCACTCATGTCATTTGCTGGGCAGAGGACAAGTGCTGGGCACACAACCTCACTAAAGAACTACCTCCACTGAAAGCACCCTGAGCACTTCTGATACAGCAGAGCAATGCCACAAAGACCATGCCATCCAATTTACAAGGCCAGTGGAGAGGGTGCAAAGCATAGTGCCCTAGCCAGAGAGCAAGAGATACTATTATATTTGGCCACTACAAGAAACTGACCTTTAAGCAAAAGCTAGCACATTAATTACCAATTTAATATTCAAATTAAGCTTGCAATTATTCTTTAAATCATTTACTTTGTCTGGAACTAATAATATCCTAAAATCATTATCATTAATATAATTACTTCAGGCGCTGGCTTTAATACAGAGTATTCTTTACTAAGCTGACGACAAAATCTATGTAATTTCTCAGGTATACTAATAACTAAATAATAACAGTAATATTAAGTACTCTTATTATCTCCATTTTAAAATGCGACGAGGAAAGAAAGATTAAGTAATCTGACTACGTTCTCAAAACGTTGTAAGCAATGAAGCTGGAATTCAAATCTAGTCAGTCTGGTTGCAGAATCCATACTCTAGGCCACTATACCTCTATACTACGAAACTCATTAAAGAATCAGTAGTCGTAATATAGAAGCAAGCACAATGAATGCATGACATTTATAGAGAAATTCACAATCTACCTTTCAGGTGCTGTTAGTAGAAGAGTCTCAAGGGTATCAAAATCACAGGTCTTCCTTCCATGCACTGAAAAAAACGAGTTACATCCTTCTGGTGGAGGTTCATCAGCTGCTATCTGTCATTTAAGACAGAAGACTTTTTAAAAATGACTTCTAACCAAGGACAAGATAAAGACATGAAGATTCCAAATAGCTAACAAAATAATAACAAAACATCAGTAAAAGCAAAAATTAAAATCTACTGAACACCCGTATGTCACAGGAAGTAAGAGCTTTCATGTCACTGCTTTCTTTGTATGATTTCACCTAGTTCCTCACATACAACCTGTGAGGAAGGTATTATTATTATCCCCAAAGAGAATTTTAAAATCTTCTCTCAGAGGACAGCAAAAGGTACCCAGGGAATATAATATGTACTCTCATCTTTGTAGAAAAGTAAGCTTGCAAATGTCAATTTTAAAATGCCAAAATATAAGGATGCAGTCCTAATTATGTACAATATGCAAATTAACATGAAGCCCCTCACTGAACTAGGAAGAATGACAGAGATCCAGAAAAGCAACTGGGCCTAAAAAAAACCAACAAAACAGTAAAAATGGAAAGATAAAATTAATGAGCACACTGAGATATTCAAGGGAGTCCTGGCCAGTGTGGCTCTGTGGTTGGAGCACTACCCATGCACCAGAGGGTCGAGGTTCGACTCCCGGTCGAGGGCACATACCTGGGTTATGGTTTGATCCCCACCCCTGGTTGGAGCAACTGGCTGATGTGGTCTTGCCCACATCGATGTCTCTCTCTCTCTTTCTCTCCCCTCTCCCCACCTGCCTTCCATTCTCTAAAAAGCAATGGAAAAAATATCCTCAGGTGATAAAAGATATTAAAGGGAAACACTAAATGGGATATGAGTTTATTTTAGAATGAAATGCATTAATGCCAACACATAATGAGACAAGTCAATCTGCAACTTTAATGAGAAGCACATTGAGAAGGGCAAGTGTGATATGAGAAAAGTATAAAATGAAAAGCACTGGTGTAAGCACTGATGTCACTAATGTAACATTTATCTATAGATAAAAAGTTAGGAACCCAGCCAGTGTAGCTCAGCCACTGAGCATCAACCTAGGATCCAGGAGATTGCAGTTTGATTCCTGGTCAGGGCGCAATCCCCAACAGGGGGCGTGCAGGTGACAGCCGACCAATGACTCCCTCTCACCATTGATGTTTCTCTCTCTCTCCCCTCTCCCTTCCTCTCCCTGAAATCAATAAAGGTATATATTTTTAAAAAACACCCACAGGAAAGAGAAAGAGGGAGGAAACAAGATGGCGGTGCAGGTAACAGCTGTACCCGCAGCCCACAGAAACCACACCAAAATTACCACTAAAATACAGAAGTACCATCACTCAGAACCTCCTGAAATCTAGCTGAACAGAAGCCCTACAACCAAGGAACTGAAAAAGCATCAATACCGGGAGGAGGGGCAGAGATGCGGGCGGATCAGGGCTGGATCGCTGAGATGTGGCTGGGGGACCACCCCCGGTGCCCTGGTTTAAACCCAAAGGACATCTCAGCAGTGGAGGTTTCCAGGAAGAGTGAGGGGCCCCCAGCCCAAGGCTCCAGGGCTCGGAAGAGACATCCCCACAACTCTGGGCTGTGAAACCAGAGGGGACTATCGCTGAGGGTCTCCGAGGGTGCGGGAGCCCCAGGCTTTCCTCTTGAAGGGCCAATTGCCCGGACTCACTCATAGGTGTTCCCTCTGAGCCCAGCGCTGGGCAGTAGCTTGAAAGGAGCCTGGGATACTTGGGGAGGAAATAACCTGCCTGAAATTGTGGCGAGATATGGGGGGGGCAGCTTTCTCCCAGGCAGAGGAGCTGGCAGAGGCCATTGCTCCTTTGTGGAGCCCTCCCCGAACACAGCCGGCAGGCAGACAAAATATTTGCATCGCCAGCACCTGACTCACACCTTTGGCCCCACCCCGTGATTCCCGGAGGCCCCACCCCTCCCCACCTGCAAGCTCATCCAAGCCATTTCCAGGGGCTTTTCTGTGCAAGTGGCCTCTCTAGCCTCATGCTTAGGACTTTCCTAAAATCTCTCCAACAAGTAGCAGTGTGGCTTGATAAGTGGTCCCAGGCCTGGCACTAGTGGCAGCCTGCATTGGCTCATAGCTTGGCCTCTCCTGGACAATGCCAAGCCCAGCACAAGTAGCAGCCAACTATGGTTTGCTGTGTAGCTCATGCTGGGTGGCCCTGGGCAAGGCACTGGCANAAGGCACTGGCACAGGCTGACTTTGCACCTCCCGGGAGGCCTCAGAGACAGTGCACCTGGTGGTCAGACTGGACCATGCTGAATTACAACCCAATCACCTCCACCAGTGACAAACTGAAGTAAATCCTGATCCATAGGGGTGTCTCCAGCACAGCAGCTCTTTGGCTGTAGTTGTAGCTGGTCCTCATAGCTGACTGGCTGGGGGGTCAATTCCTCCCAGTAACACCAACAGCAACCAAGGCTCAACTACAAGTCAGAGCACACAACCCATACAGGTGAGCACCTGGAAGGCACAGCTCAGGTTACTGGGGAGGCTGAGCCAATGGACCCTACAGGACACCTACTACACAAAGCCACTCTACAAATTCCAGGAGACANAAATGCGGAGGCAAAGAAACATGTCACAAAGGAAAGAACAGAAGAAATCTCCAAAAAAGGAACTAAATGAAATGGAGCCAAGCAAACTAACAGATACAGAGCTCAGAATTTTGTTTATAAGGATGCTCAAGCATATTATTACGAAAAAAACTGAGAAAATTGATCACATAATAAAGTGCCAATTTGAAATGAAGGCTACACGAACTGAAATGAAGAATAATTTTCAGGGAATCAACAGTAGAGAAGAGGACGCTGAGAATCAAATCAGCAATTTGGAACATGAGAAAACAACAATACCCAACCAGAGAAGAAAAAAGATAAAAGAATCCAGAAATAGGCAGCCCCTGGGACAACATCAAGAGGCCCAATATTCATATTATTGGGGTACCAGAAGGAGAAGAAAGCAAGAAATTGAAAACTTATTTGAAAAAATAATGACAGAAAACTTCCCCTACCTGGGGAAAGAAATAGACTTACAAGTCCAAGAAGCACAGAGGGTCTCAAACAAGAGGAACCCAAAGAGGCTGACAGCAAGACACATCATAATTAAATGCCAAAGGTTAAAGACAAAGAGAGAATCTTAAAAGCAGCAAGAGAGCCCTGCTGGGCGTGGCTTAGCAGCTGAGCGTCAACCTAGGTTCCAGGCGCTTGGGGTTCGATTCCCAGGCAGGGCACATGCTCAGGTTGCGGGCTGGATCCCCAGTCAAGGGCATGCAGGAGGCAGCCAATCAGTGGCTCTCTCATCATTGATGTTTCTCTTTTTTTTTTTTAAACATATCTTTATTGATTTCAGAGAGAGGAAAGGTGGGGGAGAGAGAGAGAGATAGAAACATCAGTGATGAGAGAGTCACTGATTGGCTCCCTAGCCCGCAACCTGGGCATGTGCCCTGAACAGGAATTGAACCCCGATCGCCTGGATCCTAGGTCGACGCTCAACTGCTGAGCCATGCTTGGCCGGGCGATGTTTCTATCTCTCTCTCCCTCTCCTTTCCTCTCTCTGAAATCAATAAAGATACGTTTAAAAAAAAAAAAAAGCAGCAAGAGAAAAGCAATTAGTTGTTACCTACAAGGGAGCACCCATATGACTGTCAGCTGATTTCTCAAAAGAAAGTTTGCAGGCCAGAAGGGAGTGGCAAGAAATATTCAAAGTGATGAAAAACATGGAATTACACGCAAGAATGCTCTACCCAGCAAAGCTATTATTTAGAATTGAACGTCAGATAAAGAGCTTCACAGACAAGAAAAAGCTAAAGGAGTTCATCACCACCAGACCAGGACTACAGGAAATGCTGAAGGGTCATCTTTAAGAAAAAGTTAATGAACAAAAGAATCTGACGAACTAAATAGATCCAGAGCCATTGATGCATGTAACAGACAATCATATTTCAGAGGGAAGAGGGAAGGGGGGGTGGAAGGTGGGACGAGATTAACCAAAGAAGTTATATGCATATATGCGTAACCCATGGACACAGTCAATAATGGGGTGAAGGCCTGGGGAGGGGGTGGGAGCAAAGTGGAGGGGGTCATTTGCGGGGAAAACATGGAACACCTGTAATACTTTCAACAATAAAGATAAATTTATAAAAAAAAGAAAAAGAAATAAATAAAAAGCACACACAAAAAACAAAAACAACCGAAGAATAGTATACCAATGACCTAGCTTCAATAATTATCAACACATGGCCAATCTTATTTCATCTACCTCTCTAGCACACATCACTGAATCATTACAACACAAATTCTAAGTAACATTTCATTTCATTTGTAATGTTTCAGTATGTCACAATAAAAGCTTTTTAAAATAACAATTATCATTAAAAAGTAATAAAATTCTGCATAAATAGCAACTGACAGCATAATTTTTCAGTCTTCCCAAGCTCCCCACAAAAACAAAGCAAATAGACAGCAAAAAGCAAAAACCAATGGACCACACTTATGAGAAGACTCGCTGCGAAGAAATCCGCATGATCTAAAACCCAAACGCGACCCAGGGCATGAGGACACCAGGGAAAAGGACACGGGAAGAGACTCGTGACCTCAGAGCAAGGAGCCCACAGCAGCCAGCAGACATCACTGGCGCTACGGTGGGCCAATGGGTTTTGTTCAATCTAGTATCGGGAGCCAAGGGACTCACGGTAAAGTTTAAAGGGCAGTGAAGCCACTCTGAACTCTCAAACCCACAAGTGGGACTCCCTTCTAGGGCCCCACTCTAAGGAGAAATTGCTGAGAGTAAATAAAACTTTAACAGGACAGAAAGAGAGAGACAATAAAAGACAAGTCAAAATAAAAGTGCAGGAGGGGAACAAAGTTAGAAAATTTCAAAAAGCAAGCCACTGTTTTTCTTAAACCACCATTATTTTTTTAACATTTACATAAAATGAACAGAAAGGGGAGCCATGTCCATTTCTAAAAGTTAAGTAAAACCAATTTCACATCCAAAATGAGCAGAAAAGTCTCAATGTCAAATCCCACACA